CATTTTTTAGAAATAGGGTGGAAATATTTGTCACGAATGTAAAAGATCTCTTTCCTAACCAATATTACAAATCTATTGTAGACTTTACTCTTCTTTATTTAGTGAAATAATTCAATTGTAATCTAATTTTCACTCACAGCAAAGCCAGTCATGGAGCAAAAAAGAGGCTTTAAAATGTGTGTGAACGTGCACCATGTTAAACCTTTTTATTCGGCCAGAGTGATGTATAGGGACCCCAGGCTGGGGGAGAATCACCCTGCAAAGTGTCAGCATCCTTCGTTTTCCTTTTCAAATACTAATTTATTATCACTTGTCAAAAGACATGGCAGGAAAGCACCAAAAGCAAAAAAGAAAAGCTAAAGAGGAAAGTATTTAACCTCCAGGGGGCATATGGGAGTCGTGGGAAGAACATTTCATGAGGATGCAAAAGAGATTGCACCGCGAGAAACTAAGTGTTCTGTACCAGAGAGATGGCAGGGGCCGGGAGGTGACTCAGCACTGCACAGTAAGTATAAAGCACTCAACTGAGGACGTGGAGCATAGGGGAAACCAGTGCAGAGGAGGAAGCTCACATCTTCAAGAGGCTTGATTAAGAAAATAAGGTTCATACAGGGCCTCAAAAGAAACAAAGAACAAAAATCAATGTTGGAAATAAAAGTGAAAGAGAAGCTCAAAGAGCTGCCAATCCTTTTTTTTTATACTACGGCTAGGAGAGACCAACAAGCCTTGCCTTGTGGCACCCATCCGTAGGCAATAGCTACTGAGGGCCTTGGAAATGCTCAAAACATCCCTGTTTCTTCAGCAACTTGTTTGATTCAGTGGAGGCCCCAATTCAGAATGATTTATCTTTTGCAACTAAATTCAATGAGGATAGTGAGTCAGAGCCTTCATTCACCATAACTCCTAGCTCAGTGTATTAATTATTAATGGTATTTTATGTTAACATGTTGCTGAGAAAAAAACATACACCTGCTCAACCCCCCCTGCTGCAGGCAGTGGTAGAAATTGAGTTGGAAACTCCTTAAACTGCTCTCCGACTCCTCAAGGTCCCGGAGCGGAGCCCGAAGCATTTGCAGCACAGGGATGAGGGGCACAAGGCTGCCATCTTGAAGTGTCCTCAGCAACAGGGCTTTCACTCCTTCAGCCTGAAGACTAATTCACAGCCTAAACATGTTCACTGTGAGAAAGCTTTTTCTCATATGCAACATTTTATTGTTAGTAACTCAGTGACATGCCTGCCCTCCTTCACTTTACTTCCCTGTCTTCTCACTGGTTGCATGGAATAGTTTCACTTACTCTGCTTCACTTTTGGGTGGAATTATGAGTCCGTTGAATATAATATGTTTTGCTGCCTATGGTAAGAGCAGAAGTTTAACACTGGATTCTCCACTCATTGATGCTGAATGTAACCAGCAAATAAAGGGCACTCCCTAGTCACTGTTTAGTTAACATATACGGGTAAAAGAGGGCTTGGTCCTGTCTTTTGCAGGCAAGAAAAGGTTCTGTAATGACAGACTAGGTAGCATAGCTATTAGCAGATTGGCAAATGCTGGTATAGACAAAACTGCCTGTAATTTCACATATTAACCAGGTGAGTAAAGCACTGAAATCTTGGCTAACATATTAAAGCTACAGCTCCCTTTGTCATACAAGAACATATAACGTAAATAGCCATATTAGAGTCTTCTTTATTTCATATGTTCTTAAAGTGGCTTAGGAGTATAGGTTGCTTTTTTAGAAGTGTTTATTTGTACAGTAGTTCTCTTCTTTCCTCTTCTTGTTACTGTTGTTGCTATTAGTCTGATTTCCTCAGGAAACAGTCTATGAGATACTACTGTCTCTCTGTTAATCTCTCCACTCCCCAAATTTTTGTTTCACCAATCCAATATCACCAAATACCTGAGGTCCAGTCCGTGTCCTTGAAGTTTAATAGAAAACACTGTCTGGATAGTTGGGAGAGCATATTGATGTTAATGCTGAGGACAAGACAGGGAAGAAAGCTCAGGTTTTATCTGAGCCATTTGGCACTGACTGGACAACCGTGAGTATGAAGCAACCAGTCAGCACTTCTATTGCTCTGAACCGGGCACTCAATGTGCTGCTGCTTGCCCAGCTGTCAGCTTGGGAGGAGGGAGAGAAAGAGACAGGCAGACAGACAGACACGAGGGAATCTAAAAATAATGTAGAAAGAAGGTGCAGCAGATGTGTGAGAGAAATGAAAGAAGCAAGACCTTAATGTAGTGGCTGGAATCTGAAAATAATTGAAAGTACTGCAGGGAAGCATAGAGATATTACGTAAGATTTAGGTAAGGCTATGAATTTAGGGAACATAGGAGATGGTAGAAAACAAGATCCATTAGTTCAGCTGCTCACGGACAACTTGTCCGTTCTCCCTGCCATGCTCTGTTCGACTTACATCAGACTTGAGAAGTATTCGACTTACATCAGTCTTGAGAAGTACCTACGGGCTGAAGCACTGTCAACAAAACCTTTATCTGGAGACATCAGTTTCAGGCAAATTTTATGTCTCCAGTGGTATCTTTAAAAGTGAAATCAACACTGTTCTGTCAATTGAGATGTAAGTGAGTATGTAACAACACATTAGGATGTTATTTATTACGGATTGTTTCAATGTGCTGAACTCCTTGTCTCTTCCTAAAAACTACCAGTCTCTTAAAGTTAAATCCTAAATGTTTAACATTTCCCACAGAGTTAAAGTTCAAAGATGAATCATAAATTCAATGTGGCCTATTGAAAGGCGAACTGTCTACAATTTCACAGAACAACTAACTCCTTTCTCTGGAGGAGATGACAGCTGCAGGGCTCTTGATGATTCCCAATGAGGACAAACATGTCTGGGGTCTCTGTTTTAGCAGCTAAGTGCGGAAGCCCTCAAATAGCACCTATTTCACTGCACTGCCTCCAAGGCATTTATACAACACAAACTGCCAATACACCATTTAAGTCACATGATGGCAAGCCTGTTGGCTAAAACTTCATCCGTGTACTACCTGCTCCTAAGAAGAAGCTGACTGCTAGCTATTGACTGAATGAAGTGGGTGTCTGCCTTGCAGATCTTCATGACTCTGCAGCACATTTTCTTAGCAATGATAGGTTGGGCAGAATCATTGGGGTCTGCTCTGGGTTCTGCAGATGCAGAAGTCTGTTCCACTTCAATATTTGTGCCAGTGTTGTCTGAGGTTCCTGGACACACCTGTGCAGAAGCCTCAATTTCCAAATCCAAAAGCGATGGCCACACAAAGCACTAGTTTGGGACACTACTAGGAGAATTCTGTACAGAGTCCTCTCCACAATAAGGGAAAAAAAATTTCATGCATCACTGCTCCAGAACGTTATTGCAAACAAGTGGAAAACACTTGGAGCACAACACATGAAAAACACATTTAGAATGCTTAGATTTTGGGGTGAAATGCTCTGTACCTGTCCTGCTAGGTCAAGGGACTCCTACTGATGAACAGGTGTGTGTATGAGGGCAGGGGAGGAGAAGGGAGTCATATGCAGTGTAACAAGACTGTTGCATACTGAAAATTGGTGAAGTCCCTGGTAAATTTATGTTCTGATGAAATAATTTCAGACTCGCTACACCTTACAACTTACAGAAGTTTTTAGTAGCAGCAAAAATAACTTGTATAAATTTTACCCACCTTCCAAATATATTAACCTGCATGACATCTGTTTCTTATTATTTCTATTCCTAAATTACATGTTGCCGCTATACTTACCTCTTGGTAGCAAAAACATATAGAATGAACTATTTCATTCACACTTAGGTTACTGTTCATATATTCTGCATAACAGAATCAACTGAGCCATGCAGGTGTTTAAGAAACAATCAACCTAGTAACGTTACAACATGGTATCCTCCTACATAAAGATGTGCTATAGAAAATGGCATCTCATTAAATACATTCTTCTTCAACTACTCTTTACACAGGAATTTACCCTAGAAACATTTTTCCTGCTTTGAAGACCCAGCACTTCTATAGAATAAATGTTGCAAACACTAGGAGAGAATAGCTTGTAGGACAATCCAGCTTCAGATTCATGCTTGTAAGCATTTCAAAAACAGTGGCAAACTCTACACTTTTGATATTTTTCACAGCCTACAAGTTTTAAAGGCCTGCGATACATTCTAGAGAAAAAAATCAGTTTTAAATAAAAAATTAAAAATATAAAAATATTATCCTATTTTTCACTGAGAGGAAAATATCACCTGATCAGCAAATTCAAAATAAGAACTTTATGTAACATCCTAGCCAGCCATTACTGTCTGCTAGTGACGTATAGCATAAGAGCTTTACTGCTCACATGGGGACAATACACCGCTGCATCTGTGCTAAGAGTGTGACTCCACTGTGAGTCTGGAGTTAACCGCCGTGGCTCTTACTACAGCTGGACTGGAAAGGAGAAGCACAAGGAATCACACTGCAAAGATATCTTGGCCACCTGTATCTGCGGTGCCACACAAATGCCGTTAGATGCTTTCTGGACTTTCACATCTGGAGGCATTGTATACCGATATGGGAATTTGCCAGTGTGGGCTGATACCGTTAACTCAGGGATCTCTGTAGCCTGCTTACAAGAATGGCATAGACAGGCACCAGAATTGATTGATATTTTACACTTCTATTTAAAAAAAATATATGTATTTGTTACAGCAGAGCAGGTCACAATGCAGATGTGTTTACACTGGCTTGTATTCAACTTCCAAGTGCCAACACTGCACACCACGTCGCTGTCAGCTAGGCTGGAGACTGAAGTCATTAAAAATTTTAGTGTATCACGGAGCTTAGTCATGGTCAGAAGTTATTCCAACCTTCTAAACACTTAAAATCTTAGTCTTTGTCCAGTAACTTGAATACATAAGAGATTCCATTCATACATCTCTAATGGCAAATGATGATTTAATTTTTTCCAATAATCCAAACTCACCTCAACCAGGCGAGAGCTCAAGGCATCATACTGCTGTTTAGACTCACCTTCCCAAAGCTGGCAGCATTAACAGGTTGCGTGTCATTTTTCTCACAGAAGTCCAAGTAATGCATGTAGAGAGCACTTCGAGGAATGCAAACACCTTCTGCAATCTCATAGTTCTCCTCCAGCCTTAAAAAGCAAATATCAAACAGAGAGAACTGCAAGTATGTTGGATGTCCTGTATGGTACACAGTGTGCAAAGCTGCATCTTTAAGATCAAACATTCCAGCTTCTGCTTGTCTACTAAATTTTCCCTCCTTTGTTCCTCAGTGCTTCTTCCAATTCCCTTCCATACCGCTTACTTCCTTTATTTGTTTCATGCTTGCTATTAAAAACATCGGCTGAAAGTCCTCAGGCAAGTAGAGATTAGCACAAAGGGATATTGGTGTTTGACCATGCTCCAAAGTGCTATTTTTAGGAAAAAATACACTAGTAATCTCTTATACTCTAGTAGCATCCTACAGTAAACAAATATACGTAAAACTATGAAACAACGTTCACTGAGGCGAAGCATTTCCTCATTCTTTACAGAGAGGTCATCTTTGGTTCATGACACTCTCTTCACTCCTGTCCAGCTGCAAAATTCCTTATCTCGAGGAAGCAGATGTGGCTAAAGCAAGTCATTTGCAAATACTGAAGAGCATGCACAAAATCATATCTGTATGTTTTCTTGCTATTGATGTTGAACAAAGTGAAAAAAATGAGTCCATGGTCTGAATACTATGCCGAATAAAATAGTGAAATAACATCATCCTCTGCCTTGTAGAAACTATTATTATTCATTTACTCATGGAAAAACACAACTATAAAATTTTAAATTACCCATGAAATATATAAATAGGCATATGATTCATCTTTAAAATCTGAAACTGAGCTCATTATAAATCTATAGATTAGAAAAAACATTCCTTTGAAATGACATTTTTATTATTGCTGATCCAATGAAGTTCAAGAGGTATTTACATATATACTTAACTTTAAACCGCAATTAATCTTGTCATCCGTGGTGTCACTTGTGCTTATAGTTACATGCATGCTTGTCTGCCTTGCTGGCTAGGAAAAGGTAGGTGCAGCTTCTTCTTAAACATATGAGAAAATTCATATATGTTCTGAGAAAACTCCAATTTTACGGTAAATAACCCCCTGTCATTTGATAGCTGTCGAACACCTTCCAAGCATCTAGTTTCTCTCCTTCATTGCCTTTTTCAGGACCTACCTACCTTCCATTTCAGTTATTGTGATCATTTGTGACTGCAAACTATTTTAATAAGATATCCGGCTAGATGAATGGAATCGGTTTGTATGGGCAACATCTATTCTTCCTTGGTTTCTACAGAAATATCATCACGGCATCTTTCCTCAAATTCATAGTGCTTTAACAAAACCTCCTTTCAAAACCTGGAGAGTTCGTTTGTATACTATAGCTGCTAATTGGAATGTCAGCTTCTGTGACCAAGACAGGACAGAAAGAAAAGCGGTTAATTATTTCTGTTCATATCTGATGAATTTTTCTCTTTTTCGCCTCTCTTTCACAGAGAGTCATTAGTCTGACACTGAACAATGCTCCATTATACCTGAACTTTTTTTTTAATGATCAAACACCCATCTTGCTCCACTTCTTTTATTTTCCTGTCTTTTATTTAACAACTTTATCATATTTTGAATTCAGCTTCCTTCTGCAGTATTGTAGAAAGATAATGAACTCAATCTTCTACCTAACGAATCATTATCAGAAATAATATATATATAACATTTTAAATGTCCTAATACAGCCATGTGAAATCCAGTGGTTCACAATGAGACCTTTTGTACCATTACAGTATAGCAATAAAACCCCTAATCCTTCCACACGAATGACAATTTTATCTGTTCCTATTACTGTTTTCCTTTTTATACACTTATATAGTTCTAGATTAAATGCCATTATTCTATTGCAGAGTCAGGTCTGTAGTGTTTTTACAGACTTGGTTGTAGATATGAAGGCAACGGAACAACTGTTATGTTACCGCTGCTGATCATGTAAAGGATTCTAGAACAGATCAATTTTCATGTATTATAACAATTTCTGAGAAACTACCAATCTAGGGAGAATCCATTACCTAGCGATGCTTTGCCTTCCTCTTTTTTACTTCTTTTTACAAATGTTGCAGAAAATAGAATAGTTTTGTTGACTTCAGGCTCACAATACTGTTATTATTCGGAGCACCTACACTGTAAGCCACCAAACTGCATGGAATTAGGCTGTCCGTGCTTTGAATAATTCGGTGTTTGCAGAAGTAGACACACACAGACACATGCACACGCACACACCCATCCCAAACAGGTAAAATAAAGTTTCACACTTACAATTTGGTCAACCAGTTCACCAATTAAATAATCATGAACGTTTTAGAGCCAAGTGTTAAGTAAGCCATAGCTTTACAGACAACAAAAAACACAGGAACATGGGATAAGCACAGGATACCAGGTATCGGTATGTTCATGCCTTAACGGTTAAATTCAAGCTTGCATAGTTTCCTCAATTATGAGGTATTTGGCAGTAATGCTACATTTACCAGGCCTTTCACTTCATTTTGTGTCATCAGTGAAACAAAACAAAAACCTCAGCCCTGTTTCCAGGAAAAGGATATTTAGCCAAGCTGACAGTTATCCAGACATGCTTCTTGGCATCTTCAGCTAGTTCTTCCTCCTACTCATTTATAGTGTCCAGCATACTTTGCCTTTGGAGAGGCATAAGCATTAAGGATAGATCCCTGTAGGACTGATGCTGTTCACTCTTTTCAGCAATGTGCCAGACAAGGAATAACTAATAAAGTTGATGGTAATATGAACCATGTAACAAAACGTATGTATTTCCCTTATGTCTTGCTTCATTTCCCCTATTACTTTCTTCCTCTTCTTTTTCCTTGCTGCTGACATTTCCTCTGTTTCTGTTCTCCAACACTCCATTGCCTTCATTAGCTGTAAATGATAGTAGCATCCAACAGTGAAAATATGACCAGTTTCAATGTGGCAGACACCAGACGCTGCAGACAATCGTGGTGCTTCCATTTGCCAGAATAAGGCCAGTTTGTACTGCGTCCTGAAATCTGGTCAATAATTTACCCCACCACTTCCACCTCTTGAATCTGGCCACAGGCTCCTCTAAGAGGGTAGGGCACATGCTTACCCAAGGCATATTCAGGTAAATTTAATATTTTCTCCTTCTTGACTGTGCAAAACTCGGTCTGAGGCCTGAGAAGGCAAAATTGTGAAATGTGTAAAGCTAAACCTGCAGGAAGAGCTCAGTGCAGCATTTGTACGGTGCTGACTACAATAGTTTATCGATCCATGGGTTGCTCGGTGCTACTGTGCTACAAATAACCTGACACTGATGTGTCCAGCTTTCCAGAACAGTGGAAACTTGACATCTTCACACAAAGCAAGCTTACTACTTTAACAATTTGACCATAACTTTTGAGCTTGTAATTTCATTTAGTGTATCAAACCCAGTAGCACAGTTTCTCTAGGAAATATCAATTCAAAGCTGCAGTATCTAGGATGAAAAGTATATGGAAACCACCAGAAAACTGTTTTATGGTATGCCTACTAAGCTGGGAAACTTTTACTTACAGTTCTATTAATCAATGAGCTGATCGTATGAGACCAGCTGAAGAAATTAAACTTGAAAAATTCTTTGATTTCTGTTCTTTCATGTATTTTTGGGTGGAAAATCAAATGGAGGAAATTGCAAATGCTCCAAAAGACTCAAAGGGGAGAATGTCTGAGCTACCTAAACGTGTAAGAAACACAACACAACAGACAGGTAGTAAGCCAGTGCACTAACAAGGGGGAAGGGAAGATGATGTAAGTAGGCTTTTCAGAATCAAAATTCTAGGATTCTATTGCAAACGCTGCTGAATGAGCATTAGCGTGCACACTGAATTCCAGCAGGGCTCAATATCCCAGGAGTTTAGGGATTTACTAACCTTTATGACCGAGGAAGCTTGAAAGTATTTGGCAAAAGATTGTTTACAGTATTTGCAGGTTTTCTGTTGGGAACAGTATCGTTGGCATGTTCTAATTAACTCTGGCTTCTTGGCTACTACGTTATTTGCTCCTGTGGAAAAGACTCTTAACTGACTCTACCGCAAAATAAACACTGTTCTGAATTTGGGACTGGCAAGCTCTGCCTGCTATTTTATTTTAGCTAGATGGTTCTTTGTTATCTTGTTTGAACTGTGTTGAAGTTGTGTGGGTGAATAATGGAAAACAATAAAATACCTCTACGACATTTCACTATTATGTTAATATTTTTCTCTCTGTCTGTAGTCACTCTCTTTCTTTAATCACTTTTCTTGAACTTCTGAAAAACGGCACTTCTGTGATAAAATAGGTACAAAGAAGCAATAGTTCAGAACTAAATGCCTTTGTTTATATTTACCCATCTCATTATTTGCACTGGAAGTGTCTGCAAGTTTCCTCAAGGCAGAACACTGAATATTAGCAGCAACCTATTATAAATGAATCCACAGGTCTTGGGGTTTTTTTAAATTTAAAATGTAACTGATTGACTTTAACAAGCAAGTATAGATGAAATAATCCAAATCTTTTTATGCATATTTCACAAAATCACAGAATTTCACAGACAGAGAAAAAAAAAGTAAAATTCACTGAAAGAATTATTCCCTGCTGTTTATTTCGTTAGATCTCCCAGGAGACTGGCAAGCAAAAAAAAAATATTTTCCTAACATTTTGCTAAAAAAACCATATTTTTTGTCAATAATCTTATCTTTTCATCCAGGAAACTATCAGAAACTTATAGGTGAGGTAAAAGCCTTTCTTTGAAAGACTTAAAACAAGCCAAGGAGTATCAGTTTTCAGATAAATATGCTTCAAGGCTTCTCTGTAAGAGCTCTGTTCTGCCAGATACAAGGAACCTCCTGAGAGACGGTTGATCACTTACAATATTAAGAAAGCTAAACCAGAATTGAAAACCTAAATTAAGGGAAAAGCCAACAAAAGTCTAACAGATAACCTATAGAAAGGGATGCCAGAAGTATAAGGAACATTACAGAACACGCAGTCTAAATTACTGCTGTAAATCACAGTGAACAGCACTTGCTCATTTTTCATAGCACAGTAGACTAACTCACAAACTTTCCCCTCCCCATCCTCTCTTTCTTTCTTCTCAATTACCCTTCCTTTTCCCTCTCACTGAATTTGCAAGAGGATTTTGACACATGAATCAAACCTCAAACTCTCTCTCTTGTTTTGTTGTCTTCTACATTAAATTACAGAGATCTCATGTCAGTAGAACAGCCAGTAAAGGTGGGCTTCACCATACACTGAAACAAACGTGAGTCTAGAAAAAACTTCTCAGTGCTAGTTTTCTTTTTTAATAAATATAATGATGATGACAAACCACCAGCTGGCAAGGTGGCAAACAAACACGCCAAGTAGATCTTCTAAATCATATCGGAGGTTTCTTATGTTCAAAAAAAATCCCATTAGAGTAAGACATTTGTTGAGAAATGCTGTACAGGATACTAATGAGCAGATTAAATACACAGAATGAAAGTATCTTTAGAACTGTATAAGATGTCCAAGACCTCTATTCTCTTCAGTTGGAAAAAGTATAAGAAAAAACACTAACATGTTTTCTCAATTTTTTTAAAAAGGCATCTTACCATTGCAGTGTAGCTGGAGTTGAGTGTGGTTTTGATGCTCTATTATTTTCTTTTTCCTCATCTGTTAAGAAACAAAAAAATACTATGTAATTTCAGTGGGAATCAGTCAGGCATTTATGAACTGGTAAGGAATTATCTGATAAAAAAAGAATGTTCTCAAGTGCCCAAGCTTTCTCAAAATATTGGTCAAATTGTGGAAATGTAAATAATTATGTTCCCTAAGGTAGTATCTGTAGATACTGCTTAAGGCAAGAAACCTTGCAAACATCACTGATAGCAGGAGCAGAGTGGTGCATAGGTCTAATGACATTGGAAAGGATACATTTATATGAAAATATCCCAACTCTTAGACCTCTAGCAGCATGTCAGAACATAAAGAGACTTTCACCTGCTTTAAGGGAACGATTGCCTTACCCAAGTTTTATATTAGATGAGGCATTTAACTTATTTGGGTTCATCCACTGTTGTTATCCTAACATATGATATGTACTAGATGTTTGTAAACTTACAAAGATTAATTGTGAAGAAGAAATTTAAAACATTATATAATGTACTTTATTTTTATTATATATGTACTTTATTCCTTTCCAGATAACTTTTCTGATAGCATTCCTCATTAACTGTTTCCAAGGCAACGCTCTGATTTGCTAACTTTCCAGAAATTTACATAAAAGATGAATAAAGAAAAAAATAATTAAAATAAGACTCTTAAAATATTAGATTCTTCCTAAATCATGTTGGTTCTTTTGAAACAATTTAAAAGTATGTATAGAATAATTCCTATTAAATCATGATTTGTGAAGCCCGTAAAACATTCCTAGGCGAAAGCTGGAGTGAAGCACAATCAGCATCTCCAGAAGGGTATTCTTTGGGAAACACTGTTGCATCCCAGTTTGATATTTTAACACCTTTGTCCCTGATGAACGCACTAAGTGTAGAAGGCTTTGGTACCTAAACGAGGTAAACCACTGCACCTGTACACCATGCTGCAAGTTTTGCTTCTTCATACAATTAACTTCTGAAGTTATGTAAAGTGAGCCTCTAGGATGCTGAATCTTAAGGAAGCAGGGCTATCTGCTCCGAACACCGGGCCCCATAGGGAGGCCTTTCCTGCCGTCCCAAGAGCCGGCGCGCACACAAATAAAACCCCACTTTGGAAAACGTTGCCTTCAGCCCTCGTGCCACGGTATTTTTTCCATTACATATCGGGCAAGTTGTGTTAACCGAACATCCTTTTGCCTGCCTGAATGTCACGAAAATCCAGATTTACAGTTACCCGCAGACACTTGGGGCAGCCCCCCTTCGGCATCTGCATGACAATTGGCCCCTAATTATTGGACCGCGCTCCTTCCCTGCCTTTCAGGGGCCCGCTTTTATTCAGCGCATAGGACCAACATACACGTTTCAAATCACTTTTAAATTGTGGTTTTCGTTTGTTTTTCCTAAACAAACGGCCGGCGTGCAACAAACCTTCGGCACGCAGGGCCTGAACGGCGAGCGGCCGCGGGCGACCGACCGCAGCCCCCGGGCTCGCCGGACGCCTCCTCCGTGGCGGCAGGGCGCAG